AATTTTGGAAGGGCACACAAGAAACTACAGTAGTTTCTTACCTGTAGGGAATGAGGCTGTTGGGGATTCTATCGATGAGTATTTATTAATCAAAATGTTTTATTAATCTAAATGTTTCAAAACATTGATTAGTATCAAGAGATGGTGATTTTTTAAGAAATGGGCTTTCACACACTTTGGTAGAAAAATTAATTGACATAGCTTTTCAAATGGTAATTTGGCATATTTCCTAATATGTCCTTTGATCCATCAGTTTCACCTCTAAGTATCTACTATACCGAATACAACACATTTTGCTCCCAAGAACTCTGTTATCCTTCACCTTGATGGTACCAAAGCAATGGCGTATGTAAATGGGCAAACTTGACACTCTGGTCACCCCCTGGGCTCAAGCTCCTGCAAAAGTCACCCAATTTTAATTTTTCCTTAAATAGAATTTTAAAAAACAATAATAGTTAATATGTACTGATCACTAAACTACCTGCTACACAGTAGAAGGTAAAAGAAGACTTAAAAGAAATTGGAAAACATGGTCTTAGTTCCTACTGTTTAAGATATAGGAAAAATACTGCACAGGTATGCCTTTTAAACACTTGGAAATATGTTTGGGAGACAAACAACAAAAATATGGCCAAAGAATAAATATTCAGAATATAGATATTTGGTTTGATTTAAGTGCTCACTGAACACATGTTGGGCACCTATAGTGTGAACAATTGGAGCTCTGGGCTTGCTGGGAGCCTGTGGCTTTGGAATTGGTGACAACAGCACCACCTGTGTTCCACCAACACTAGCACTACCCCTACTAGTAACTGCTGTGTGCTCAGCACAAGGTATAATATTAGGCATTATGCTTACAGCACTCAGCAAATATCACCTCACTTAACCTCCATGAGAACTGTCTGCTTTCCCTAACAAATTCCATGTGGAAGATGGAGCAGGGTGAAAAAAGCAGGCAAGGGAGATCTTCCTGCAGAGCTTTGGGTGAATAGAGTTAGGTGGGTAGGTGATGGAGGCAGATGATGAGAGAAAAGTGTGTGAGAGAGAGAGAGAGAGAGAGAGTGTGTGTGTGTGTGTGTGTGTGTGTGTGTGTGTGTGTGTGTGTATGAAACAGATTTTGCTTTCACTGATTTAGTCATAAGGGTAAAACAAATTAGTATAGTAATCAAATCTCTTGCTCAAGCTTTTGAAATTAAAACATTTTCTTCTTTAGTGATTTAAGGCCTGAGAATATGCAAAAACAAAGGACTCCCTACTCCTCCACACCCTCTGGGAGCCTGATCTAGGCTTGCCTCTGAGTAAACAAGACTACCACTTCATTCCTGTAATCTATTGTTGCGTAACTACCGCCAAACAGATAACTCAGGTTGTTATCTCTCAGGGTTCTGTGGGCTGGCTGAGCAGTTCCCACTCTGAGCCTTTCCTACAGCTGAAAAGTCAGTGGCTGGGCTTGGAGTCCTCTGAAGGCTCTTCTCTGGAGCCTAAATGGGAATGGCTGAAAAATCTGGGGCGGGTTGGGCTTCTCTGTGTGGAGCCTCTCTACCTAGCTATCCTAGGTTTTCTCACAGCATGATGGTCTCAGAGAAATTAGCAGTCATGCCCTGGGGCTGGCCTGTTCCAACTTGTAGGAGCTGATTCTGTGTGCTTCTTTCCACCCCTACATTCAGTGCTGTTGCCTTATTACCTTGAAATCGGTCATGGTGGGAGGGAGTATTTTTACCACGAAAACAAGTAAACACTGAAAATCAGGGCTTTTTTCTTTCCCACCAGAGAACCAGGTTGCCAGCACATGAGTTTACATGGTGCTTGGCTTCCTTTAGAGCGAGTGGGCCAAGAAACCCAAGAGAAAGATGCACAGCTTCTTAGAACCTAGCCATGGGTATCACTTTCTTCTTAGTTCATGGTCAAACACATCCCCAAAGCTAGAGGAAGAGAACTACCACCCATATCCCTGGAACTATCATCCATATCCATGGAAGAGTAGCAAAGAAATTATGTAATAAAGGACATGGTGCAAAGTAGGTACTCAACAAATACTTGGTAAATGAATGAATGGGTACAATCACTAAAACACTGATCTGTATGTCCTTAAATCACTCTAAAAGTATAAAGCTTTTGGGGAGGTTTTATTTCAGCATCAGAGAGGTCGATGAATTTTAAGTCCTCAAAAATCCTAAATGTAAAAATTGCTTGATATAGATCTATTTACACTCTGTCTGTGGGTATTCACAGGTCTGTTTATTCAAGCCCTCCCTGCTTATGTACTCAGCTGGCATGGTACACATGACCATTGCAGAATTCTTGTTTTATAGTTGCTTTTATACTCTTTAGATTTGCTTTACTTCTCTAAGTAAACTGCAAATTCCTTAAGAGAGTTCTCACATATTGGGTTGGTCAAAAAGTTCATTTAGATTTTTCTGAATGATGGCTCTAGTAGTGCTTACTTGTTTTTAACTTTATTTGAAACAATTTTGTTCAATTATGTTGTGACAGCTGTCATATCAGTGTGCATTTTTTAAAAATTTACCATAATTGGTGAATTTTTGTGTTGCCAGAAAATACTTAACATTTTTGGTGTATTATGTTTTATTATTTCAAGAAAGGTAAAAATGCAACTGAAATGCAAAAAAAGAAATTTAAAAACTTGTGCAATATATGGAAAAGGTGCTGCGACTGGTTGAATGTGTCAAAAGTGGTTTGCGAGGTTTCTTGGTACTGTTGATATTTTGGCCAAATAATCCTTTGTTCTGGGGCTGCCTTGTGTATTGGAAGATGTTTAGCAGCACTCCTGGCCTCTACCCACTAGAAGCCAATAGCAGGAGATAGACGACATACTTAAAATATCCAAGTCAATATAGTTATTGGTGAAAATGAAAAATATGTCTTTTATTTTATAAAAAAATCTTAATGGACTTTTTAACCACCCCAATATTCCTTTGCCACTCCTTCTTCCTACCATGTCAAAAACAGATAATCACACATGCACATACACAGAGGTGCTTATACGATATAGAATGGTTAGAGAACATAAGCCTTGAAAGAAAAGGAAAGAAGGAAAGGAACTAAAAATTCTTAATTGCTATGTTTCAGAGCCTTCCCTAAATGTTCTCATTTAACTCTTACATTCACTGAGTGAAGTAAGCATTGTTATTTCCACTTCACAGTTTATGAAAATGTGTCTCAGGAAGGTTCAACTGCCTGGTCAAGGCCACAAGTGGAGGAACTGGGATGCAAATGTAGACCGGGATGGCTCCAAGGCCTGAGCTTTGTACGCCCTTCAGGCCATCTTCCCACTGCAACACGGCCCCCCACCATCTTCCCCCATTCTCTCTGCCTCTGTTCTTCAAGTACCTTCAAGAATCATAACAATGCTGATGTTTCTAAATCCCAGATAGGAGAACAAGTGTTTCAGATTCTGCTCTGGTAAAAAAAAAAAAAAATGTCCTTTAACAGCTTGGGAAGAAGCTTAAAATATATTAGGAAGAAAGTGAGCCTGGTGGCAGGAAGGTCTGTGATTGCCATAATTAAGGCAGAGAGAGTGGGTGGGTTAGATCAAGGTGGTGGTGGTAGAATGGAGAGGTAAAAAAATTTTTGAGGAATATTAAAAAGACAGAATCACCAGACTGGTGAATGACTGGATTGTGCATATGCTGATCAATCATTGAATCATCTGGCTGTACCGGGAAGGCAAGGCCAGAGAGAGGGAGACTGAAGGGGCAGTTTCCATAATCCTGGAAGAAAATGGTAAGTGCTTATTAAATGAGGGAACTAGCCATGGAAGTGAGAGAAGGGATGGATTTGAGAGATAATGTGGAGGCAGAGTCTGCTGGATGTGTTGCCAAACTAGATGTGGGAATGTCAGGACAGAAGAGGGGTAAGAGTAAAGCCCAGAAATCTGTTATGGACAGCCAGATGCTTCCCACTGAGCTAGGGACCCAGAAGGGGAAGCAGATTTCAGGTAAGGATGAATTCTGGTGAACCGAGTTTGAGGTGAACGTGCCAGCAAGGCGCTGGCAGTCAGCATATAATTGCATTTATAACAATACAAGCATCTCTTATCTAATGAGGTTCTTTCACCCTTCAGAGATTATGGATGGATCTACTGGATACTATGTGTAGTAGGGTTCTGTGTCAAGTAATTAAAGGATTTTTCAGTTCTCAATGTTTTCACTTCACAGTGGTTAAACTCTCTCCAAAAGGCATTTATCACCCTGTAGGCATCTCCGTCATAACCAGGACGTCTTTACTGAGCCTTCCAAAGCTAATAAGACATGTATGATTCAATCAGTGACAGTGACTCATATAACCCATTGCAAGTGGTGCAGGGAAAGTTTAGTGGTTCCGAGGACCACATGTCTACCTGCACACAAACATACAACCCCCCCCAAACTCATGCTTATTTTCTTAGCTCACAGAACAGGCACAAAGACATGTTTGCACACTTCTACCCCACATAGCAGGACAGCCATTGTTTACACAAGGTGCCTGCTTGCCTGTCTGGACAGGAAGCTGGGGCCCCTTTGTCTCCTGCTATACTCTGAGGCAGAGGGGAAGCAATTACCCCAGCGAATGAGCAAATAAAGGCTCTCAGGAGCGCTGCTTTTCTGCACATCAACTTTTGTCATGAGGCCTTGTGAGAGTTCTACATGAAACACAAAGCCAATCTTTAGGAAGGCAGAGGGGGGTAAGAGAGTCTGAACCCAAAGGGAACTACCTGTAGGTGCTTCACTGAGGTGGTTGTTATACAACTCTTAGAACAGGCGCCAAAACCAAGGTCAGATTCGGTCTCCCGGCCCACCGTGAGAATTGGCGCCCAGCTGAGTGAGGCTCTGCTCATCCAGCCTGGGGTCTGTCGGCCCACCAGGTGGATATCAGATGCCTGGGAACCAACCGACCTCCTCACCACATCGAGTGTCCAGCTTTACCCAGAGATGCCCTAAAAAGTCCCCTTCAGATCGCGCTTTCCTGAATAAAAACCCACAAGATAAGAGCTTCCTTACCTGAAAGAGGGTCCTCGTGACTGGCAGTAGAAAAAACTCCAAGTTGTAACAGAAGCGACAGAGACTCACAGGACAAATCTGTTGATTTTAAAAGAAGAAAGGTGACTTCATGCTGGGTGCTGTGGAGCTGAAGAGAGCAACGAGTGCTCGCTGCCTGAGCCAACTCTGCCTCATCAGTGATGACTCCATCCAAAGTATGCAGCCGCTGCCCAGACACGCTCAGCCTCCAGGAGGTAAATCTCTGGAATCTGACTAGCCCTGTTTTCAAAGAGCGTCAGAAAGTCCTGAAACACCAATCAACTTCATCAGCACCAAGGAGAAAAAAACTATGCCTTAGTTCCCCAAGTCATGTCATTGTCTCCCAAGAATCCAACTGTCCGGAAAACAACTTCTAGGGAAAGAAAATAGGTACTTAAGTTCCTGAGAGGTAAAAAATTTTCAGGAAGGAGGGTAGAGAAGAAGCAAAGATATTTCATGAGTGGCATTAAGAAGCTGGAAATTATCAGCTTTGCTAAGTTTTCCGAGCTAGTGGATTTACAAGCATACAAAGGTGACAAACAGGCGACAGCCTGTACTTTGCAGAGGGGGAGTTATTTAGTTGAGCAAAGGGATGAGTCACTTTGTGGAAAGAAAGTGTGATAGCCTTCTAGTGAAAACAACCAATTTTTCTTTTCTTTTTCTTTTTAAATATGATACCACTCAACCAAATTAGGGTCATTTGTAACATTAACATATCAGATCAAAGGATGCTCACACTGCATCATGAGGATTTGGGGAAAGAGGTGTTTAAGGAATTTTCTTTTTTATATATGAAAGGTGAGGCCAGAATAATCAAATTTGTAACATGGGCTCAAGTTCAGGGCAAGCTCTCCTGGAGGCCAGGCACTTCTCCTTCATCTGCTTGGGCTGCACTTTGGGCAGGTCTTCTGGCTGTGGTGCCAGAGCGAGGAATGGGAAGGGTGTGACCTCTGTTGGAAGTGGGACAGAGGGTTAGGCTTAGTAGCCCCGTGCCCTTCCCTCGACCCTCTACTTCAGGAGACTACAAGGGAGCTTTGGGTCAGCAGGCATGAGCCAGCAAGTAGGCACAAGCAACAAAATAGCTCAGCAAGTTCAATTTCTTGCTCAGATATTTTGAGGCTTTGGGATCTTCTTGTGACAAGCTTCAGTTCAGAGAAAGTGAAATAAGAAAATATCTCTTTCTGTGTAGACAGGTGTTCATGTCCAACATCACAAGGGTTTTTTGCAGTCAGAGATTTTTAAAATGTCAACAGGACGTGTAAAAGAAACTTGCAAGTCTTCTGGTCAGGGTGATAATGAGAGAATTAGAAGGGGGTGAAGTTTCATCAATGGTAAGATCAATAAAAGGCAGGAGCCATTTTTATTCGCTTCATTAAAGTCTCCTCAAAGCCCAGTACAGAGAGAGTAACACACTCCAGGCCTACGTATGCAAGAAGTAGAATCCTGGCTTCAGCTGAAGGAGCTGAACCAAAATTCCAGCTGCTACAGGGGAGGTAGGATTTTGCAATTTGAGCTCAGCCACTTTAAAGGCATGAATAAAGAAAAGTCAATACTCATAGAATTACATAATAGAATCTGGACATTCTACAACATACCTTATTCACAACAACCAGGACACACTCCAAAATTATTCAGCATACAGGAAATTATTCAACAAATCAGGAAAACATAACTCATTTTAAATAGAAGACAGAGTCAACAGAAACCAATTCTTTGATGACCTGAATGACAGAATTAGCAGACAAGAATTTTAAATAAGTTATTATAGCTATGCTCAAGTATATAAAGGGGAATAGGTTCATAATGAATGAAAATATAGAAAATTATGGCAGATAAATATAAACTATAAAAAGAACCAAATTAAAGTATAAAAACTAAAAAATAAATAGCTAAAATAAAAATTCAATCAAGGTACTTAGAAGCACAAGGGAGGTCAAAGAAGAAAAATCAGTGAATAAGTAAATCAATAGAAAGGATCCCAACTGAGAAACAGACATTGAATAAATGTACAGACTTATAGATAATACCAAAAGGTAGATATATCTGTATCTATATCATTTATATCTATTTCTAGAACTATATCTATATATCTCTATCTATATATATCTCAGAAAAGGGAGAGGAAGAATGATATAGAAATATGTTTCAATAAATAATGGGTGAAAAGTTAGTAAATTTAGTAAAAGACATATATAGACACTAAAACCTCAATAAACACCAAGAAAGATTAATATCAAAGACAAATAAAACTATTTAGTATATCCTAGTCAAAGTGCTGAAAATCAATGAAAAAGAAAAAAATCAATGACAAAGAGAAAATCAACAAACCTAATGCTGAGAGAAATTAAAGATGTAGATGAATGGAAAGAAATACCAAGGTAATCGATTGAAAGACTCAGTGTTGTTAAGATGTCAGTTCCTAAGTTGATCTAGGAATTCGGTACAATCATAATCATAATTCTAGTATGTTTTTAAATCAAAATTGACAAGCTGATTCTAAAATTTTTATAGAAATGCAAAGAACTTAGGATATTCAAGAAGTCCTGAAAAAAAGAAGTCAAGGTGGTAGACTTACACCACGTGACTTCCAGGTCTGCTTTAAAGCCACAGTAATCGAGGCAGTGTGGGGTTGACCCTAGATCAGCAAACAGAATGAGAGGGCAGAGTAAATGACCAGAAATAGACCCACACTTAAAACACATTTATTTTATTTTTGGCAAAGATGTCAAAGCAATCCAACTAGGAAAGAAAAGTCTTTTCAACAATTATGTTGAAATAACTACTACACCAAATGTCATCAGAAGGATATAAAACAACTAAAGCTCTGGTACGTGGTTGGTTGGTAGGAGTGGGAATGATATAAGAACATTGTAAAAAAAATAATTGTAAATAAATATTGAACTTTAGATAATAACATAGAAGTATTTGGGGAATCTTTAATATCGGCAACTTACTTGAAACACAATAACAAAAATAAATAAGTCACTGGATGAATAGAGGAATGGACAGAGAATCAATATGTAATAAAACAAATATAGTAAAATGTTAGTTGAAGAAACTACATGGTGAGTATATGGGTGTTCACTGCAAAATTCATTCAGTGTATCTCTAAGTTTGAAAATTATGTGATAGAATGTTGAGAACAAAAGGTAATTGAAGATTAGAGTCTAGCTGATGTATAAGGGAACAGGGAAGGCAAAAAGTCCAGAAACTGACTTTCTTTCCTTTGTTCTAACCTTGGCAATGAACCTGGGGCCTGGGACAAAGCAAATGGCCAAGTTCCTATTGCATTCCATAAGACCCACTGGCTCATGCTCTCTGCAATTGCCTTGTTTACCAGATGGGGACTCAACACATGTGTTCCAGAAATCTGAAACTGGAAGGGGGCTGCCTGCCACTATTTACTCTCTACCTAAGGAGCACCTACGTAGAGAGTTGAATTTTAGAGTCAGCTGGTCAATTTTGATTTAAAAACATACTAGAATTATGATTACGATTGTACCGAATTCCTAGATCAACTTAGGAACTGACATCTTAACAACACTGAGTCTTTCAGTCGATTACCTTGGTATTTCTTTCCATTCATCTACATCTTTAATTTCTCTCAGCATTAGGTTTGTTGATTTTCTCTTTGTCATTGATTTTTTTCTTTTTCATTGATTTTCAGCACTTTGACTAGGATATACTAAATAGTTTTATTTCTGTTTTATTTGTCTTTGATATTAATCTTTCTTGGTGTTTATTGAGGTTTTAGTGTCTATATATGTCTTTTACTAAATTTACTAACTTATCACCCATTATTTATTGAAACATATTTCTATATCATTCTTCCTCTCCCTTTTCTGAGATATATATAGATATAGATATAGAGATATAGTTATAGAAATAGATATAAATGATATAGACACAGATATATCTACCTTTTGATATTATCTATAAGTCTGTACATTTATTCAATGTCTGTTTCTCAGTTGGGGTCCTTTCTATTGATTTACTTATTCACTGATTTTTCTTCTTTGACCTCCCTTGTGCTTCTAAGTACCTGGATTAAATTTTTATTTTAGCTATTTATTTTTTAGTTTTTATACTTTAATTTGGTTCTTTTTATAGTTTATATTTATCTGCCATAATTTTCTATATTTTCATTCGTTATGAACCTATTCCCCTTTATATACTTGAGCATAGCTATAATAACTTATTTAAAATTCTTTTTTTTATAATACATTTTATTTAGTTACTTTTCAAGTACATTTTTTTAATCTATTTCTCCCATCCCACCCCCCGTCCTGTCTCCCCCCTCCCTCCAATTTCCCCTCCCCCAGTCCTCATCCCTGTGTCTTTCATACTTGTTCCTCAAAATTCCTCCCCCTTTTTCCCCTTAAATTTCCTTCCCTCTCCCCTCTGGTCACTGCCCACTTGTTCTCTATTTCAGTGCCTTTGTTTTTATTCTGTTTGCTTGTTTGTTTTATTCTTTAGCTTTCTGTCAAAGGTGAGATCATATGGTATTTGTCTTTCAATGCCTGACCTATTTCACTCAGCATAGTGCTTTCCAGTTCCATCCATGTTGTTGCAAAGGGTAGTAGCTCCTTCTTTCTCTCTGCTGCATAGAATTCCATTGTGTATATGTACCACAATTTTTTGATCCATTAGTTTACTGATGGGCACCTAGGTTGCTTCCAGCTCTTGGCTATTGTAAATTGTGCTGCTATGAACATTGTGGTGCATAGGTTCTTTGAAATTGATGTTTTAGGATTCTTGGGGTATAATCCTAGCAGTGGAATTGCTGGGTCAAAAGGCAGGTCGATTTTTATTTTTCTGAGAAAATTCCATACTGTTTTCCATAATGGTTGTATTTAAAATTCTTGTCTGCTAATTCTGTCATTCAGGTCATCAAAGAATTGGTTTCTGTTGACTCTGTCTTCTATTTAAAATGAGTTATGTTTTCCTGATTTGTTGAATAATTTCCTGTATGCTGAATAATTTTGTAGTGTGTCCTGGTTGTGAATAAGGTATGTTGTAGAATGTCCAGATTCTATTATGCACTTCTATGAGTATTGACTTTTCTTTATTCATGCCTTTAAAGTGGCTGAGCTCAAATTGCAAAATCCTACCTCCCCTGTAGCAGCTGGAATTTTAGTTCAGCTCCTTCAGCTGAAGCCAGGATTCTACTTCTTGCATATGTAGGCCAGGAGTCAGCTGGAGTTCTGGGCAGAGGTTATCCATGGAGTGTAGGGCTTCCCTCTACTCTGTACATCAAAGAGCAGGCCCTGTTCTTAAACCAAAAGCTATAAAACAGGGAACTTAGCCCATTCCAGTCTGTTCTTCCATTGGTTCATTTTGCTCTGGTCCCTGTTTTTATTTTCTCTCTACTACCTTCAACTAGTTGTTCTCGTATTTTGTCCAGAGTTTATAGCTGTTATGTACAAGAGCTATGGTCCGGCAGGAGCATGCTGGCCATCCCAGCAGGCCTCAGTCACCTTTTCAGTCCTGTAGTTTATCTCCAACAAGGTAATTCATAGTGCTTTCCTGGGATGTTAAATAGGTTTCATTTCAAGCAGCACCTAAGACTAATTGGTAATGTTGAAAAGAATACTGAGCTTCAACAGAAAAGGGTAACATAATCAATAAGCAATTATTTATCATATATTGCTTTATCGCATATGTCTGCCTTGGATATGGAATGGTCAGAGTAAGCTAGGTATTTGCAACTTCTTGTAGTTATTTACAAAGTTAATGTTAATACTAAGCAGTTCGTACCTGCTAGAACATCTTCTTGAAGTCAGAGTACTGTATTTGCTTGTTTAATGGTTATTTTTTTTCCATTAAATGTAAGCTTCATGAGAGCCGGGATTATGCTTGTGACACTTACTCTCGTGTGTCCGGTGTCCCTCACGTGGAACACAGGAGGCTCTCAGTAAATGTCCGATAACTGAATGAGAACACCATCCGATCGGGACCGCCACCCCCCGACCTGCTACCAGTTATCATTGGTGACCGACCCCTGGACAAGCAGACAATTTAGGAGTACCTGATCCAGTCTGATTTTTGTTCTAGAGTAATGTTTTAAAGTTACATAACCAATGTAGAGAAAGAAATAGAACACAGATTAGCAAAAATAAAATTAATCAAATCACCCCACATTTTACCTCTCAGATATAATAAGCATTATTGCAATTTTGTCACATACCTTTTAGTTAGTCTTTAAGTTTTTATTTCCTACCTTGGGTACATATCAGAATTATCCGCAGAGCCCTGAAAAGTTGTGATGCTCATGCCCCACCCAAGGCCAACCAAGTCATGTTCGCAGGGACTGAGACTCAGGCATTAGTATTTTTTGAAAATTCCCAAGGTGATGGCAATACAGTTAGTTGACCCTTAAACCACATGGGTTTAACTGCTCTGGTCCAATTTTACACAGATCTTTTTTTTTTCAAGAAATACACCCAGCCTTGTCCTATCCACAGGTTTCATATCCACAAATCAACCAACCGTGGATGGAAAATACTATTTTCACATTCCCAACCACAGTTTTCCAACCTCAGATTTCCAACCCTGAATCAAAACATTATTTTTACATTCCCAGCTGCATGTCAAACATACTCTTTTGAGCCCATGGTTGGTTGCATCTGCCAATGCAAAAGGCCCACAATAGAGTCAAAAGTTATGTGCATAATCTATATAATTTTATTAACCATTGTCACCCCAATAAATTCAATAAAAAAGGAAAAATTGCACATGGATTTTCCCCTGTGTGGGGTAGGTGCCCCTAACAACCAAGTTGCTGAAAGGTCAATTGTATGCAGTCCAGAGGACCTAAACTGTGTCCCAGCCAGGACTATAAGAGTTTTCTGATGTCATTTTCGGTTTCCTCCATGACACAGCCCTTGCCCTCCAGGAGAATTCAGAGAAGATAGAATTTGAAGTCATTACATATAAAATGATTAGAAGTCCAAAAACCACCAAACGTGCATAGTCAAGTACTAATCTGCATAGAAGCTGCAAGTTAAGTGTGCCAGAATAGATAGATGCACCTGAGTGCGGTCAGGGGCAGACTCACCTGGACTGCTTGCTCCTTGGTGGAGCCCTGCCAATGACATTGAGTCTCCTCCCTCCAGGAAGGTTTTCTGTCAGGTTGGAGAAAGGGGCATGGAGTGACACATTAGATCGAGAGATGATGCTGATTCTATCCCTCCCTTTTTTTTGAAAAACGTCTGCTTTATTGAGCCCCCAGGTTCCTGGCTCCTGCTCTCTCTTTGTGGTTTTAATGCTATTTTTAAATCCTATACCTGACTGCTGAATTTGAGAAGACCACCCTTGACCAGAGAATTGCTACTGAATTGTGCCATTGCTGACCCAGTGGCCAGCCTGGCTGGTGTGGAACCCAAGTGAGTTGGGCAAAAACATCTATCGGCACCATCTCTCCAGCTTGTCCCAGGGGACTCGATCTGCAACAAAGCACTGAGCCTCGTTTTTCACCCAGGTGGTACAACAGAAGCTCCCAGGATGCTGTAAAATACTTCTTCCTAGGCCCTGCCCTAGAACAGTTAACTTAGAACCTCTGGGTGATGATGCTCAAGCACTGGTATTTTTGTCAAAGTGCCCCAGGAAATTAGGATATGACCCAGGGTGAGAAATGTCAGTGAGGTAACTAGATGGCCCATCCTCCTGGGCTGTGGGTGGATTTGAAACCTCCCTTCCTGCTATTGGTGAAGGCAGCACAGAGCAAAGTGCCAGGTGTTATGTTAAATAGGTTATGGTTTGAATCCCTGCTTTGCCATTTACTGGTTGTGTGACACTGGCTAAGTTACTGGATATCTCTGTTACTCCATTTAGTTGACAGTAAAAGATGTAAAACAATAGGACCTACCACGGAGATGCAATGAGACACAAAGACACTGACTCACAGTGTGTATCTAACAAACACCCTCTCCCTTCCCTCTCTGCACCCCCCATTCCCACCCTACCTTAGCTTTCAGTAAGAGCTATGGGCTGCTCCAGCTTGGTTTTGTGCTTGTTCTCCTTGATCTGTCCATGACCGTGATATCAGCCTGGGTTTGCTGCCCTGGCCCCTGGATCTGGCATTCTGATCTTAGCTTCTGAATTTGATCTGGCTCTTCTTTCCTGCCTTGCAGGTTCTGGGCCCAGTTTCCATCACCTGTTTCTGTTGCTCAGCTCTAAGCCCCACTGGTCCAGTTTCTAAGAGTTACTGGCCCCCTGTGGCTGCAGCCCCAGCTAAAGTTTTAGCACCAGGACAGGGTGGGGCTAATTTTAGATTTGTCCTGAACTAACATCTGAGAGCAGGCTGTCTCGAGCATGCTCGGAGGCTGCCCCCAACCGGGTCCTTAAGAAGGGGTTGCATTATAGTTTTTCCTATAAGTCAGCCGGGTGACTGCTGCTCGGGCTGCCCACGGAGCAACCCAGCACCAAGGAATAAACAAGGGTCACATGAGGTAACTATGCTATTCATTTAGCTTTTGGTAAACACAAATCCACTCAAGATAGAACATCAACATACATTAATATCCTACCCACACTCTAACAATCTAGGAGGAACATAACACACAGCAGTCAATGGGGGAAAACAAACTCGAGTCCCAGGGTCTCGGTCAGCAGGTCCCGGAGACAGCACTGGTAGGCAGAGGAGCCGTCAGGATCTTGCAAGGCAGAATGTAGTGGAGTTGGATGGGCAGTGGAGCAAACAAAGTTCCTGGCCCAGCAGAGCAGAGCCTCCAGCAGCACAGCTACCAGGAGATGAGCACAACATAGAGCTGCCCCTGGTATGTGGAGCTCAGCTGTCTCAGCAGCAGACTGAGCTCTCCACTTTGTATACCTTCGAGGGTCTTATACTCCACTCTCTGAGTCCCTCCGTAAATGTTTTGAGACCCTTGATTAGTCGTTGGGGATTTCCCAGTGGGCTTATCCCAGGGAATAAACTCCACAGACACGTCCAGGTCACATGTGCCGATAGCCTGAACACTCCACCCTGCCAGACGTGTCTGGCATGACTTAGGTAGTTTCCTTCTTGAACCAGACTCTATTGCACATGCTTTAAACATGGCTTCTCGGTTGACAGCACTGATGCCATTCGGTTCAGGGCTGCTCTCCACACAGGCAAGGCCAGACAAGTCCAGTCTGCCTGCCCCCTTCATGTCTGGGTTGGAGTTTTCAGAGAAATGTGGAGGAGATTTTGCCACAGGGTTTGTGAGTCTGTGTTATGCCAGACATCCTATGTGGAAACATAATACATGAAACAAATAAGCCTCAAAATCTATTTGGATTTGAGCCTCCGGTGCTGTGCTGAGTGGGAGTAATAACAAGGTAAATCAGTTTTTGATATGCTAACACTTGTGCTAAGCTGGGAGGGGCTGTTAGCTAGCATCTATCCCAGGGACAGGACCAGGCAGGAGTGAGCAGAGTCCTGGGCCCGAGACCCTGCAGGGAAGAGGCTAATGAAGAGAAAAGATAGACGAGGCCATTGCTTTATTTGTCTTTTAGAGAAGCTGAGAGGAAACAAGATGGAGCAGTGCAGACACAGAAAGCTCTACTTGAGAGAAGCAGGGATGACACAGCAGTTCCCACGACAGCCTGGCCCGGAGTAGAGTTAGAATAACTGTTTCCAGAGAGTGGAATGAAAGGTTTCCATGGTGGGCGGGATGCCCTGTGAGAGTATCTTGTGCTTTTGAAAGGAGAGCAACCAGCTCAGAGCAAATTAAGCATCACAAGCCTGCCCAGAGACCCACAGCATCAGAAGAAATTTTTGGCTCCAGGGTAGAAGAAAATTACCACCTACAGACATAAACAAGACAAAGAAACAGTGAAAAGAGCAGGGGCTGTAGAGTGGGTCAAACTAGCTTCCTCATTCCAGCACTTAATACTCTGCAATCTTATGCAAATTAGTCAGCTACTCTGAGCCACAGTTTCTCCACACATTTATTCAACATTCACTAACTTATTTATTAAACATTCACCAACAATTTATTGGGCATGTATTTTATGGGCCAGAAACTTGAATACTATAGTGAATAATTTTCTAGCCCATGTGGATGAAAAAGGGGCCACTTACTTAACCTGACAAGCTCAGGGGCGGCTGCCTGGTGGCCTCACAGACTCAGAGACCAGAATTAAACACCTAAGACAGTCTGAAATTAAAATTTCCTAACTAAAGGTGAGACGTGGTAGGTAATCCTGTTCTAACCTGGTATCTTCCTTGACAAAGGTCAATCTTTACCTTAACTGAGCCTGTCCATTGTCTTTTTTTTTTTTTTTTTTTTGCATCTAAGATAACAGCTAACATACCTTTGCAAGGTCAGAATAACCCACTTTTGCCAAACCCTTCAGGGCACAATCTCCCAGCGGATCAGGAGATTCAGAGCCTCTCACTGTTATCCAGCTCTCCCACATACCATCTCCGTGTGCTGGAAATGTCAACTGTAGCTCTCCTGTAGCCACCGGTGTGAAAGAAGTATGTGTCCCTTCAGTTTACTTTTTATCCAGTCTCAGAGATTTCCCGCTTTGCTTTCTCTCACTTCCCTAACCTATCACCAATGGATTTCGTGTAACTCCCTTAAGTCTTCTCCTTTGATTCTAATGTATAAAATAAGGTGCCAAGCTGCCATTTTTTGTAACCCATTGATACTTTTGCCTTCCACCAGTTGTTGTCTGTTTGGCTCAAATAAATTCATAAAAATTTTCTGCAGGTTTGGATATTTCTTATGTTGACACCAATATGCACCCAGCAATCTGGTAGGAGATGAAGACAAGAGAAAAAAATAAGATAAATCAGGCGATGGGCGGAATGAAATGTTGGAGGGGCACTTATATAGGAAAAGCTTCTGTGAGGAGGAATCACTGGGACTGAGCTCTGAATGGTGAGGAGAGAGCTCTGGAGACGAACACTCCAGGCAGAGGTAACAGCAAGTGCAAAGACCTCAAAGAGCTTCACAGACATGAAGAACAAAAGGGTGGCCAGTGTGGATGGAGAACGGTGAGTCAGAAGTGTAACAGTGGAAAATTGTAACGGTGGGAAACTGTAACCCACCCCACCATTCTTTTGACAGTGTATCTGTAAGTGCTGACTCTGACTTACATGTAGATGTAGCTTATAAGACGAACAGCATGTTTGTAGAAGAATCCTAAGAACTAACTTCAAATAATACAGACCTCAACCTTCAGGCATCCCAGCTCCGGGAGATTTCCTGACCTTCCTTGGAGCCAGGATGACTAAACCGGGATGACACACACTGGACCTTCACCTGCCTTATCAGAATGGACCGAGCTCCTCTGCACGTAGAGAACTTTCCAACTCCCTCCCTTGAGCGCTTTGTTTGGTTACCTCCCGCTCCTTAGAAAAACCTCTGCCTCCAAGGAGAGGTAGAGATGGGCTTTGTGACCTCCTAGGTCCCCCACCTTCCAGATGGTCAGCATCTGCAAACAAACCACTTTCCTTAACTTGAGCACCAGCCTCTCCAGTACTGGCGTTTGTAGAGGCAGGAAGCCCAACCTGTGTTTTGGTTACAGGTGATGGACTGAGGGGAGGGGAGACAGAGGCAGGAATGCACAGGGCCTCGGGAAGGAGTCTGAGTTTTGTATGAGGAGTAACTCCCAACTCTTGCAGTGTGAGGACAGGCCAGACAGGAGCTGCTCCTAAGAAGGACTTAAGCCGGAGGGGACCCTGAGGGCAGAGGAGGTGATGTGCCTGTGACACGGGTGCCAACGGGATACGGGGTCATTGGAGAGCAGCCCAGGAGCTCAGCCCAGGGCTTCATAGGTGAGAACCTTTATAAGGGAAAAAACATTTTCAATCTGGTCTAGGACCAAACCTTTTTGATTGATGTAATTCTAAATCTACTTCTGAGAAGAAATGAGCATTCTTACTAAAATGCTTAACTTAATCAATTTTCCGATCAGTTCAATGAATCAGGCTTTGTCTGGGAATCTAATCACCCAACCCCCTACCTACTACTGTCAGTCAGTCAGTTGTCTTAGTATTTAGTCAGCTGTTGAACCAAATAATCTTTCTTTTCTTTTGGTATCTTATCTTAATAACGATCTAACCATTCTCTTTTCCTACAAAATGCCCCTACTAGGAGCAAATCTTTGAGTTGGCCTCATGGAGGCCTTTTAACTTGCAGCAAGATTGTAATAAAATATTGACACGTGCTTCCCATTGTATTGTCTGAAAAGTTGTCTAACACCCTGGAGTGGGTGGCCAGTGCACACGAGAAGCCTTCCTCAGGCTCGCTGTGAGCCCGCGGCTCCTCCCCCAGGCCCTGCCTGTGCCCATGCTGTCCCCTGTCTCTGGCTGCACATGGCCTTGGTGTGGGGGCTCTGCTGAAACCCAGGCTCTGCCGGTGATTTGGTGAGGGGGAAGAGGAAGGCTGTTATGGGCACAGTTGTGTCTCTACTCTCACTCCCCCAGAAAAGATGCAGCAGTCCTAACACCTCGGTACCTCATAATAGATCCCACTTGGAGATAGGTTCTTTACAGAGGTAATCAAGTTAAAATGAGGTCATTGGGGTGGGCTCTAATCCAATACAACTGGGGTTTTTATAAAAAGGGGAAGTTTGGAGGCAGACCCACACACAACAAGAATGTCGTGTGAACATGAAGGCAAAGATTAGGGTGATGCTTCTGCAAGTGAAGAAATGCCAAAGATTCTCAGCAAAGTATCAGGAGCTGGGGGGAAGCATGGCAGAATCTTCTTCACAGCCCTTGACAGGAACCGACCCTACTGATACCTTAGTCTTTGACTTCCAGCCTCAAGAACTGTGAGGCAACCACTTCTGTTGTTTGAGGCACCCAGACCCCGGTACTTTGCCATGGCAGCCCCTGCAAACTAACACAAGGGCTTTAAAGGGAACATTATGAAACATGATCCTTAAAGCTCCTTCAGTATCCCCAGCATGGAGAAGCACGGGATCCCCCGCCCACCTGGTCCCAGCCCTTCCACCTTGCTGGCTTTTTTTCCATCTCCTCTCCCCGTGCTCCCTCATTTCCCTCATTATTCCCCCAACACCCTCTCAGGGAAAAGCAAATTTCTCATCTTGCATCATGCATAAAGGTCTCACTTTTCACCTGAAACAGCTAATCAGGCTTCATTTTTAAGTAGATATTTATACCAGCACACTATATGTCCACAAATCTTAAGGTAAAACTTGCTGAAGCCCAGGCTTTCTGCGG